GCGACTCCAACAAATTGTCTGTGATAAATGGATATGCAAGTATGTGTGTGTATGTGTGAGTCAATTTACAGTTGTTAACACATTGTACCACTGTCGCTGGTGTTGCTGCTGATGATGTTGATGATGATGATGATTAGATGATGATGACGGCAAGCGGTTGAAAAGTCAAAGTCAAATGCAAGACATAAAACAATAACAACAGCGGCAGCCATAAACTATGTACACCCTGTGTATACAATAATAGCAGAAAGCAAAACAAGTTTTCACTTTTATTTATTTTTTTCGTTTTTGAGTAACTTAGGCATGTTGAGAGGGGTGGTAGAAGGGGCTTGCCGTGTGGCATTCATTACCAAACGACGATTCAATTGCATTTTGTTGTAGCTGCGGCAAATTGTGGCCATAATGAATTGCATAAGCCGGAATCGCAATCTCAAGCCGCTGCTCAGCCACATTTGGTCAACTGCAGAGGTTAGATTGAGAGTGAGTGAGAGAGAGAAAGAGAGAGCACACAAGGCTCAAAACTGGCTAATCAAAACGCAATTGAAATAACACATCAAAATATGACCATTTAAGGCAACGGCACATTCACAAATTCCCATATGCGGCTAATCGACATCTTTTAAAAAACAACAACAAAATTATATATAATAAAACGCGCGCACACACATACACATACACATACACACACACACACCACGCACCCGAAAAGTAACTCATGCTGCATACGGTACTCGCTTTATGTACTTCATTCATTCATTGAGCTCGCGCTCATTCCCATTCTCATTCTTTTGGTGCCCATTGTTTTGAGTGGCCGTCGCGGCCTTGCCATGGCGCTTTTTTCGCAAATCCAATTCCCATTCCAATACCATTTCCAGCGGGTTGAGAGTCGAGCGTGTACCGCAATTGGGAGTGGGAATGGCGTCGAATTAGCTCATTTACTTATTGTTGCTACACACTGCTCATTTTGGCAGCGGAAAAAGCACAACGGGAGCTTAAGCTCGAGCTCATATGCGTCATTTAAGGCAATTGCGCTTTAGAAGTGCTCGCAACAACTGTTCAAAGATTAAAAAATAACAATGCGAATCTGCACAATAAACCAGTGTATTATGCTACAAAGGCTGATAAACAAATTGACGGAAGCAGTCAAGGAAAGTACGTACAAATACAAGCACATAATTTTCGTGTAATGCCCAATTAAATTGATGATCGGAATGTGCGGGCGCACTCAATCAAACAGCAGATCAAACGGACATGTTACACAACGTTTGGGGTTGATTGCGCCCGGCGCACACTCCATCAATCATAGCAACGGTTTACAACACTAAATAAATTCTGATACGATTATATATTCCAATTAGAATTTCATTGACAAAAATTCATATTGATATGAGTGCGTTCCAGTGCGTCTCCGACTGATTTCGAAAGGGCTCTCTCTCACATGCACAAACACGCACACACATACATATGTCTGTACACGAAGAAATGAGCGCGCGGTTAGCATGCTAATCACAAGCACGAAGCAAAAAGAGCCAAAACAACAACAACACAAACAAACAACAGTAAAAGGCAAATACGAAATAACAAAATTAACAACTCGCCTGGTAACTGGAGAACTGGGGAAACTGGCCGATTGCCGTTTGTCGACTTGCTGCCCTTTGCTCGGCGCCTGTTCAAATAAGTTTCAAATTTTGACAAATAAAACCATGGTTTTGTAATTTACGAGCGCTGTTTTCATCATGATTGAGCGCGGCGACTGCGACGGCGACGCCAGTTGAGTGGAGTTTCCCACGCCCATTATTCACACTCAGAACAGAACGGGTTTCAGGACTCAAACTCGCTCTCTCTCGCTCCCTCTCTTTCTATCGCTCTTTTACTGTGTACTTGGTTTTTGGTTGTTTGTCTTTTGACTCCTCCATGGCGAGAGCGCAATAAAAAGGGATTATGTGCAAGCATGTTGCGTTATGTCTGTTTGAATGTGACTGTGTGCGTGTTTTGGGAGGAGTGGGGGGCGGGTGATAAGCGGGGTTCGAGCGAACCGAAAGAAGCTGCAACAACATCTCCCCGTCTAGACGTTTGATTACCGGCACACAAACACAGGCGCACCCAACACACACAGACGCACACACATGCACTCAGACACAGGACGCAGCAACAGCAGAAGATGAAGAGCCACAGGCCAAGGCACAGTGAACTGAAATGTCGTTAGATCGCCACCAAATGATAATTGCTTGGCCAATTTGTTTTTTTTTATTGGTTAGGCTTATTTTTTCTGCGTGTTTCTGTTCTCTTATCAGTTACATTATTAGAGTGGAAAGAGTTGGAGTCATAAATGTAAAGGTTTTTATATTGTGCCTGGCATGTACATGATAAGGTGTACATCGAAATGGCTTGGATTTATTTTAAAACATTATTTGAAATGAAATCATTTGCGGTGCACATATTTTATTATTCATGTATTATTTTTCTTATTATGCAAAATCTGTCAAGTCTTTTTGGATTATATATAGTCAACTAGAGGTCACAAAGGTCATTTGTGACAATTTTCAATTCATCCCCGAATATTGCAAGAGATTCTTTATGAAATGTATTTCATCAAATCTTTAATTTTTTACTTAATATGGATGATTATCATTGTAATATCTGAAGTATACGTTATTGAAGCTTGTAATAAATCATCACGTGAAACTTATGCCTATATATCTATATCCACCCTATTTTTAAGAACTGTCTACTCTGCTCTTCGGGACTGCGATAAATAATGGACAAAACAGATAAATAAATCTACCAATTTACTCAATTTAAAACATATTTTGTTGTTTTTTGATTTAATTAAATAAAGTAACAAACTTGAAATATTTTTGAGTAAACGAAAAAATAAAGTGACTTTTGTATTATTTTGATGACCTTGCCTTATCTTATCGTAAAAGGAAATTTTTTTCGCATGCAACTCATCAGTAATCACTTAATTTCAAATGCAATTAAGCTAAGCAGATTTTGTAAATCTCCAAGAGAAGCACATAGGCCTCTCCCTCTCTCTCTCCCTTCGTTAAGTTTCAATTACAAACCCCATTCGATTCAGCAGCTTAGAGAACAAAGGCTTAACAAAAAAAAAAAATAAATCTCTTATCTGATAATTTCTTTTACCTGACGTAACTCATTTGCTTGGGGTTGCGGATATGTCATCCATATGCATGCGATTTCGTTACAGAACATTAATCAGCATTGTGTTTCTCATGTTCTTCCTCTTCTTCTTCGTTTGCATTAGCTGCGCGCATTTGAAAACCACTTTAAGCAATAAAGATAAAGATCGAAAGGAGTTGCTTCACTTTTTAGCACAAACGTGACCACTGTGCGTTGCAAGGGACAGGGGGGATGGGGGGGAGAAGACAGAGCCAGTGACAGGCTTGTCAAGGACTGTGCACACTCGATGCTTGGCAAAGGTCACATAATCGGCACGGCGGAGCCTTGACTTTTGCACTTTCGTCAAATGTTTGCGCCGACATTCAAAACGAAATCAAACATTGCACTTAAAAAAAAAACAAAAAAGAAAACGAGCAAAAAAAACAAAAAACAAAAAGAAACTCACCACACAGCCAAATGCTTCAAGTGTCGTCGCCTTCTGGGCGTCCTTTTCGTGCAGTGGTGAGTTAAGCGGTCGTCAGATGAAACTGGAATTTTTGTAGACTGCGTCTTTGCCAGCTTCTGTTTTGATTTCGTTGCTCTGTGTTGTTGTTGTTGTTGCTGCTGCTGCTGTTGTTGTTGTTGTATCGAATGCTCTCAGCTGCTTGCGTCTGTATTGGTATTTTAGTGTGTGTATGTTTTATAAATCCTTTTGTTTCGCTTCTGCTTTTTGGCGCGCAATTTTCGATTGTCTCGGCGGCTGCTGCTGCTGTTTTTGGTGTTGTTGTTGTTCTTGTTGCTGTGTCAGGCACACACGCGAAACCGTCTTGTTGTTGTTGTTATTGTTGTTTGCATATCACGTTTTGCTGCTTGCCTAATACGAAACAACAGCTACAAACACAATAACAACAAACAAAAACACACACAACAGACACACACACACACTTCCTTTCCCGAAAGGAAGCTGCGTCCGTTTTTTGTTTTTCTGTTCACTTCTTTCTTCGTTTAGTTTTATTTTCTACTTAATTTATTTTTGCTTATTGCATTTTCAATTAACTAAGCAAATAACACTCAATTATTGTTTTTCAGTTCGTTATTTGTGTAGCTCTTTTAATCTGTAGCAAATGTTTGCTGGCTGTGGGGCTCCGACTCCGAGCGACGGCGACGCGTTGGCGACAATAAATCGACACGAAAAAGTAACGTCCGTCTCGTTTGCACGTTTTGAACGAACTGAGAGGCACAAGCAAAACAAAAACTCTCAGAGCCAAAGCAAAACACACGATTGTGTTGCGCACGACAGCAAGTCGACCCAGTAATACACTGCATGCAGTTAATCTGCGGCGGCATGTCGTAATGATATTAAAAGATATTGTTGCTTAAAGCTTGTTATTGTTTGCGCCGACTTTCATTAATATTTTTACTTAAATATATATTGAAAAAAATTACTATAAGGCTGGATAGATAACAAACGTACAGAAAATATTAACTAATTAATTTTGGTAAATCTGTAAAACGTATAACGTGCTTCTTATTCAATAAAAGCTAAACATTTATTAACATATTAAAGCTATATATTTTTTGCTCAAATTGTTAAATAAAAGTTATAATAGATATGTGACCAGAAATCGGGGAAACCGCAATTATGTGTTGCACACAAATATTAATATTTTAATTGTAAACATTCTTAATATTAGTTCAAATTATTTAATAATAATTAAAATCACGTAAAAAGAAGGAATGCCTCTTGTGCACATGTGCTGCATACCTTACCTAACACAGTGTGGCTGTGCGCGACAAACGATGAAAATACTAAAAATACTAAAGAGAAAATGCAACTCTTAGCAGAACAAAACCTACGATATTCTTTTTATACTCGGACGTTATTTATTATTGTTTATGCGTCGGACAGTGCAACAACAACAGACGGGAGCGAAGAGGACAGCAAGAGGAAAAGTGCGACTCAGCGAAAATCATTTGAAAGCGTGAAATTTGAAACACATGCACCTACTTATAAACATATTTTATTTACATATTGAGTGAGACACGACTGCTGATGAAGTAGTAAATATTAAGAACGGGAAGCGATAACAGCTGTGTCTGTGGGTGCGAAGAGCAACACAAAATGCAACGCGACGGAGATCAGCAGCGGCTGCTGGCTGAGGATCAGCAGCAGCAGGACGAACAGATGCTGGGCAGCGAGCACATCGCGCCCGCTGGCATTGGCTTTGTGCCCGCCTTTTCGCCACAGTACGACGTCGACGATGACGAACGCTGCCTGCTCGTACGGGAACGGGAGCGGGACGAGGTGGTGCAGCTGACGAATGCGCCCAGTGCAGGCGCCGCGTTAACCTATTGCGTCTTCTACCTGCTCGGCATTGGCACCATGACGCCCTGGAACTTTTTCGTCACCGCCGAAGATGTAAGTAGCCCACGAGAGGAAGAGCAGGTCCCTGTCATCCAAATTGCCCCTCCCTTGAGCCCGCATTATGTTCGATTTACAAGCGCAACATTTGCGTCGCTGTCTAAGACGTTGTCTTATCTCCGTTATGGCATTGAGCTTTTTAATGGTTGTTCTCGTTCTCGTTGTTGTTGTTGTTATTGTTATTATTATCGTCTTTAGTTTCTCTTTGTTTACGCTATTTTGGTTGAGTCAGCGCGCCCCCCACGCCTAGCGCCCCTCTCCCACCCAACGATCAATCGTTGTTTGCCTGCTTTGGACTTGTTGCACCCTGTACTCATTACAATTAACGGTAACGGGGGGTTGTATAGAAAAAAAGGCAGAGTTCGTTCGATAAGCAAAACTATTAGAATGAGAATATTTATACTGTTATTTGCATACTATTCAAAGACTCGAAATACAAATATATGTTCGCATCATATAAATTAAAATTATTTAGCTAATTAGCATTAATTTTAGAGGCGAATGAACCCAGTTATCGAGTGATCCCAGTACGAGTGATCGAGTGAACGCTGTTCCAAATCGATAAATATCGATTTTCATCGATCGATATTTCTGGAGAATATCCCCAAGATAAGAAAAGATATAGACTTCGCACAGATAATTAAGCTACATAGAAAACGAATATATATTAATTGTATACACTCTTGTATACCCCCTTCTTCTTCTTTTCATGATGGGAAACTTGGGAGAAAAAGATTTGTGAAAGCAACCGTATTAAAGAACTATTCATACAGGGTATCAACCAGTCGGTCACTCACTAAACTGCATTTATTTTCGCAGTATTGGAAATACAAATTCCGCAACACAACGTTCAATGATACACATCCCGAGGAGGAGCTGACGCCGCTCCAGAAGAGCTTCACCTGTGACCTGGCCCTGACCGCGACCATTTCGGGCACCACGTTCCTCCTGCTGAACGCCGTCTATGGACATTATGTGTCGCTGCGTGCCAAGATGCTGGGCACGCTGTGCACGATACTCGTGCTCTTTGGCATCACCACGGGCTTCGTTGAGGTCGACACGGATCGGTGGCAGGAGCAGTTCTTTCTTATCACGCTCATCATTGTGGTCATACTGAACAGTGGGTAGACACTCTGGGATGCCTGCCTGCCTATTAATATATATGTATATGTGCGTACTCCTTCCAGTTAGCTCGGCGACCATGTCGGGCGCCCTGTACGGCGTCGCTGGCCTCTTTCCCTCGGAGTATATGACAGCTGTGGTCAGTGGCCAGGCGCTGGGCGGCATACTCACTGCCCTGGCGTTCATTTTGGTGCTCGCCTTCGATGCGGGCCCCTCAGCCACCGCCTTTGTGTTCTTCATCATGGGCGCCCTGCTGATCTTCTTCTGCATCGTCTGCTACTCTGTGATGGCGCGCCAGGCGTACTTTAAGTATTATCTGGAGGGCGGCGATAAGTTCAAAGTGATTAGCGCCCTGCCCGCGCATAGCCGCAACGACGAGTCGGGCGTGCCCCTCGAGCCGATGCTCAAGCAAGTGTTGGGCAAAATCTACATTCAGGCCGTCTGCCTCGCCCTGCTGTATGCGACAACGCTCTCCGTTTATCCGTCGGTGACGGTGCTTATGCAATCGGAGCATTCCGCCAGTCACACCGAGTGGAGTGGTATGAGCCCTACTTGTTATCTAAATAGTTATATGGAAAATAGTTATATGCTGACTACGTGACCGACTGAAGACTGACTCAAGAAATCGCTAGTTTCAAAGTCCAGCTGCAAGACTGGAAAAGTTTAGCCTTTGTCGTCTTTGATAAGACAACTTGTATTAGAATAACTTCATCACACATTTTTAAAGATCTATGTGATAAATCATAGATGGATGTTATCAAAACATTTTGGTACACATCGCTCTTGGCTAGAAAATATTTATCTAGATTCAATTCTAAATAATATCCGATATCATCCTACAAGCAAATTTAATGAATAATCACAATGTGGAACATCCACCCACACAGTCGGGAAATAAGTGGAAGTTTATTTTTAAAGATATTTGGGAAAATTCATTAGAAACTCTTCTAGTCTAAAAATGGACTGATTAACAATAAAATTTTCGCAAAAAGCGGGCCTACTTCCATTTAAAAAGTTCTTCAAATCCACTTACACGAGTGGAAATGGGCGAAAGTGTGTTTAAATAGTTTGTCATTGTTATACGATCAGCTTAAAAATAACTTATTTAATGATCTATTAATTGGAAAATACAAACCCGGAGTGGAATATTAAAATGAATCGATCAATTCAATTCGATTAATCTTAAGAAATTCACAACTAGGCGCGGAAAGTAGATTGAAAAATGAGTGAAAATTTTAAGCTTAAACCTGACCCGGACAAAACTGTAGATTATCAGTTGTTAGCTATATATTTGTACATCTTACTAATAGCTTACCCACTTTCAGATGTTTACTACCTGCCCGTTGTGAATTATTTGTTCTTCAATTGCGGCGATTACGTTGGGCGCCTGATTGCCGGCTGGCTGGAGAGTCCCAGGAACGAGCAGACGACGCTGCTCTGGACCGTGGTGCGTGTGCTGTTTGTGCCCTGCTTTCTCTGCTCGAACAGCAGCGAGCACCACTTCCTGCCCACGCTGGTGCAGCACGACCTCACCTTCATGGCCATGATCATAGCCTTTGCGCTCTCCAACGGCTATCTGACCAACATACTGCTCATCATGGCGCCAAGGTGACGTATTTAAGAACCCCTTTTGTCACACGTTAATATTGACAATATCCTTGCAGAAGCGTCGATCAGCATGAGAAGGAACTGGCCGCCTCCATAATGGCCGCCTCCCTGAGCGTGGGCATGGCCGTCGGCTCGTTGCTGAGCTTGGCATTTGTGCAAATGTTGTGACCGCCTTCTGGCCGCCCCTATCCGCCCGTATCCTCCCGTATGGTGCCTTAGAAATCTTTGTCTATATTTTTTTAACTATCGATAGCTAATTATATATATATCTATATTTTTTACATATAACCAACGTCCCAATTTGTGTCCGTGTGATATTCTGAAATGTAATGCTCCAAAATTAGCCAATGTCTGTAAGACCTTAGACATATCAAAACGAAGTTATATGTGTTAACATTTTACAATCGGTTTTTTTTTTATGACGTGTTTATGATTTATGGCCACATTTTCTATGTATATACATATATTTAAAGAAAATGAAAAGAGCAAGCAATTGAATCAAAAATAAAGTTAGTTCTTCTTTTTAAGGTAATTCTGTATGTTTAACGTTTATTTTGGTTTCTGCAGATCACGACAACAATGTGGATTAATTTGTTTTTAAATTTAGGTTTAGTTTTTAGTATGCATTTCTTGTATATTTTTTATGTTGTCTTTTAACTAATGAACTCCACTGTTAATATGTGTATGTATTGTATTGACATTGACAGCATTAGACAGCACATTTAGTTATTGAAATTACGCTGTTTTATTTGTTATTCGTATTTATGTTTGTAAATTTAATTTCGCCCTGTGTTCATTCCGCAAAATGGCATATTAAATTCAAAATTTAACTGCCGTCGCGCTGCCAACTGAACATTGATAAGCTAGTTGGCAACGCGTTGCTCGTTCTCACTGCTCTCACCAACGGCTAACTGCACTTTTTGCATTTACGCCTTGTCTTTGAGCCATTGAGTAATAAAGAGACAGAGCTTAAGGCTTGCTCCGAGCTTTTTTTACCGCTTTGAAAATCATGAGAGGTAGATCGGGATGGTCCGCAAACGCAAAATCCAACTCTCTTTATTACTCAATGTCTTTGAGCGTAGAGCTGAACTTGCGCTCACAAGCTCGCAGATTAGACTAAAATAAAGTTAATTCACAAACTTAAAGAGACTCAAAAACGTTATGAGTTATGTTTGAGCGCGCTCTCTTTTGCTTGAGCGCTCTCTCAATGAGTAAAGTGAGTTGCCGCCATTTTGTTCATCATTCCTTGGCAGCAATTGACTGCCAGGCTAACCAATGCACATCAAACTGTAATGCACTCACACAGGCACAGGGCGTTTCAATAATTTAAGTTCGCATTTAAATGCTATTTTCATTAACTTGAATGTATTTTAGTGCATAATTGTAAATTGTAATATGCATTTTAACATTATTAAATTCTGCTTGACATTTAGAGATCGGTTTTAAAACTGTAAGTGTTTCCAGGTGTTAACAATATGGGAGACGCGCTCTTTAATACGCTACGATCTGGTCTAAACATTTAATTAGCTAAGTTATCTTTTTGTGTATTTATGTGTTTAATACTTGTGCAACAACAAATTCGTTTGTTGCGCTGGGGGAATTTTCCAACCATATTCAATAATAACATTTTACTTCTTATTTATTTTTTGCGGCCTAAATTTCTTGATTTTCTTCTCTTTGCTTTGTGGTGTTTAACACCTTTTTTGCTTTTTGTTTTCCATTTTCGTATATAATTATGTTTATTCAATTTGGTTTTTCTACTAACTTAATTTTACGAAACGCACAACAACAAATGTGGATTAAAGCCTGGCTTGAACGGAAAATGCGGGCGCATGCAGTTTTTTTTTTTTTGAGCGTGAAAAGCAAATGAAAATCTTTCGAAAAAGCGCGCTGCAACTGCAACATTAACTTTAACAACAACATCAAAAACAAGAACAACAAGAACAACAACAACAACAACGACAACAACACACAGATACAGAGTAATTAATGCTTATGGACATTATGTACGTACAACACCAAAAACTATTTTAGTTGATTAATTTTTAGTTTATAATGTCCAACTCGAGTCCAGTTGGAGTTCTACGATTTGAATCTGTGTTGGCCAATTATATTGTAACACACATATAACATACACATATAGAATGTTCCGTAGCCAATCTTTCAGTTCCACGCAGTTTCGTGGAAACACACGTAACGTGCGCAGAACGAATGGATTTTTATCTTAGACACCAATATAGACACATAGACACATAGACACATAGACATGACTATTATGCTAAAAGAATAAACAAATACACACATACTTATATATTGTATTCACCTAGTATTCACGGATTTCGGGTTTGGGGGAACTGGAGTATTGCTTGTCGCTATTTGTAGAATTCTTTTTTGGGGGCTTACAAGTGTTATATGCTACATACATAGATACATACATACATACACGAATTACAACATCAATTTGGGCGGAAAGGGGGCGGGGTCTTGGGTTTCATCAAATTGTCTACTCGAGTAGCTTTGGAAAGTATTTTAGCATAGGAAATTACAACATCTAAGGTGGTTTTGCCGTCCAGTGAAATGTTCTTTCAACTTTAAGATTTTCATCTCTTTTAATCGTTAATTTTTTTTGTTTGGTTTTGATTTCTTCTCATTACATGTATGCATACATATATTCGGTAAAGAGTTTTGTGGGCTGCACGTACGATTCGTAGTGCTGAAATTTTGGATTTCGTTAAAAGGCAGCTTGGGTTTACCTAAAAATCATATCAAGTCCGGTAACAACACAAGATCGATCGTTGATCAACACTTAAAAGTTTTTCTTATATTGTTTTCATTAATATTTCATTTTCTTTTGTTTTTGTTGTTTTTGTTTTGGTTTTTTTTTTGATTGTCGCTAAAAGCGTGCACAGTTTGGCGCAGTGCTGCTCAAACTGTGCGGACGCCATTTTGGTATTTGGTGTTGTAGGCTGTGCGTCGTCTGTGTGACTGTGTGCGTGTGTGTGTGTGCGCGTGTGTGCATGTGTGTCAGGTTGGAGATTGTGCCCAAAAATCTAAAGAGAACATAACAAAAAAAAAAGACTCTTAAAATAAAAAGCAGTTCGACAGCGAATATTTATTAGAACCTTGAGTAGATATTAAATTAAAAAAATCGTAAGTTTAGTGACTAAAACAAGCATAAATAAATAGTTGTATAATGCCTAGAAAAAAAAGAAGCCAACCAAAGGAAAATTGACTAAAATGTTGGCATAGCCTTGTGCTTCTTCTTCACTATGTTCTACAATGCGCGAGATTCTTTTCACATTCTTGTGCGAGAGCATTCAACAAATTAAATATATGCATATATATATATTGTATATAAATAATTAATGTAAAGTAAATTTGATATAAAAAGTAATACACACAACCACATTAAATAGTAGAAATGGAGCACATGACGTCGGGTCAGACGAGAGAGAGAGAGAGACTCTCACACTCTCTCTCTCTCTCTCTGACTGCGTCACATAACCTCAATGTTAAGTGAGGTTATAAATTTCTATCTGTTTCTAAATTTGTTTTTCATCTACGGTTTTGTTTTTGTTAAATAAATTATATAGTTTATGCTTAAAGGTTTAGACACTCAGAGTTTCAGCGTAGTTCGAATAGGAAGAAACCGTATGGTTCGGTCTAGAGATAGAATAGAATTATTGTAAGCATATCATCTATAGATAAACATATGAGTCATTCACATACACAATAAATACACCGACTATTACAGTTAACATACAGTTACATACACATAGACATATAGTTCATGTGCTATTCAAATAGATGGGCATATGTACATACATATATGCCCGCGAGTACTACAGCTAGTTTGTTCAGTTAGAAAACGCGTTTCCCTTTTTCGCGTAGTTACAGTTACAGTTACAGTTATAATTACAGTTACAGTTATAGTTATTTAGATCTATAAGACTAATCGCTACGAAGACTTCTTGTTGTTTTTGTTTTTTTGCTTTTCTTTCCCTAACACAACTGCCGCGAATACTGAAAACTGAATAATAACACGTGCTATCTTTCGATCCTGTCCCATTTTACGTCTTCATCTCCGCCGTAATGCTATTGTGCGACTTGGCTGGCGATATGGCCAGGCCAGCCCCCCCGCTGCCCACTGCACCAGCGTTCAAGTTGAGTGTGAGATTATTGCCAGAGAGTGGGGCGGAGCCGCTGGTAACAGCTGTTCCCGCCGAGCAGCCATGATGGTGCGGTCCATGGAAGAGCACCAGGAAGCCGTTATTGGAGACACAGCTGCGAGATTCCGCGTCCTTGTCGAGTATTTGACGAGCCTGCCAAAAGATGTGCAAGATATTTTGAACAATAAATAAATGTTATCTTAGATCATGAACAATAATCAATCCGATCTCTATGAAATATTCAGGGATATTTATGGCATCCAAATGTGTGTAAAACCAAAACCTTTAAATATGCGTTTTTTTAATTTCGGGAGACACATGAGAGGAAGTAAACTATTATTGATTCTATGGGGGTGGTAAATGTTGATCTATGTCTATAAAGGATATTTGAGGGTACCATTTTTACTTGAATTTTATTGGAAAATAATGTTGCCAGAATTAGATGCTAAATTATCTAGAGCCCAAACCATGAAAAAAAGCCAAACCTCGTGAAAATTGGATGATTGCAGAGGAAAGATAGCTTGGCCTGCGTTTACTGTAAGAGACCATGCATACATACACACGTGCGTACATACATACATACATACATACATACACACACACACGCACACATAGACACACACACACATGTACATACATTCATATATACATTCATATATACATACATACATACATACATATATACATACATACATACATACATACATACATACATACATACATACATACATACATACATACAAACAAACATACATACATACATACATACATACATACATACATACATACATACATACATATATACATATATACATACATACATACATACATACATACATACATACATACATACATACATACATACATACATACATACATACATACATACATACATACATACATACATACATACATACATACATACATACATACATACATACATACATACATACATACAGACATACATACATACATACATACATACATACATACATACATACATACATACATACATACATACATACATACATACATACATACATACATACATACATACATACATACATACATACATACATACATACATACATACATACATACATACATACATACATACATACATACATACATACATACATACATACATACATACATACATACATACATACATACATACATACATACATACATACATACATACATACATACATACATACATACATACATACATACATACATACATACATACATACATACATACATACATACATACATACATACATACATACATACATACATACATACATACATACATACATACATACATACATACATACATACATGTATACGCACACACGTATATATACCAACCACAAAAAACAACAAAACAAAACAAAACGAGAAAGAAGTGCTATCTTCGGCACACCGAAGATTTAATACCCTTGCAGACCCAACCTTTTCAAAATGCTCATAGTGCTTTGCCCGTATCTAAGAAGCACAGGGAAAATAGTTAATGCCGAGTATGGTTAAGATATCTTGAAAAACAAAACAGGTTTCCATACAACAACTTAATTTTCGACCGATCGTTCCTATGGCAGCTATATGATATAGTTGCCCGATGTGAATAAGATTTTGCATAAGTGGAGGGAGCATAGTAAAACTAATAAATGCCGAGTTTGGTCAAGATATCTTGAAAAACAAAAAAATTCCATACAACAGCATAATTTTCGACTGATCGTTCCTATGGCAGCTATATGATATAGTTGTCCGATCTTAATAGAATTTTGCATATATATGGGGACCGTAGTAAAACTAATAAATACCGAGTTTGGTTAAGATATCTTGAAACACATAAAAATTTTCTATACAAAAACTTAATTTTCGACCGATCTTTCCTATGGCAGCTATATGATATAGTGGTCCGATCTTAATAGGATTTTGCATATATATGGGGAGCCTAGTAAAACTAATAAATACCGAGTTTGGTCAAGATATCTTGAAAAACATAAAAATGTTCCATACAAAAACTTAATTTTCGACCGATCGTTCCTATGGCAGCTATATGATATAGTTGCCCGATCTTAATAGGATTTTGCATATATATGGGGAGCGTAGTAAAACTAATAAATACAAAGTTTAGTCAAGATAACTTTATAAACAAAAATGTTTTTCATACAAGAACCTACTTTTCGACCGATCGTTCCTATGGCAGCTATATGATATAGTGGTCCGATCCAGCTGGTTTTGACATATGAGCTGCGTGCAACAGAAAGAGGGAATTCTGCAAAGTTTCATAAAGATAGCTTTAAAACTGAGAGACTAGTTCGCATAGAAACAGACAGACGGACAGACGGACAGACGGACAGACGGACAGACGGACATGGCTATATCAACTCGGCTGTTGATACTGATCAAGAATATATATACTTTATGGGGTCGGAGATGTCTCCTTCTATGCGTTACACATTTCACGACAAAATTATAATACCCTCTGCAAGGGTATAAAAAAACAACAAAAAAAACAACAAAAAAAACAACAGAAAAACAACAACAAAAAAAACAAACAATGAAAACAGCAGAAAAATCACAAACAAAAATACACTACTAGCTAAGCAAGAAAAACTGCAGAGCCTACTTGAATTCTTGAGAATCGAGGAGGACAGCACCTGGCAGAAATTCGTTTTATTTAAATTTGCAGCACAGAGACAAGTAAGCTTGCATGCGTACATATATACAGAAATACATACATACATACATGTATGCAAGCACTATCACACACACCCCCAAACACACACACATACATACACATACACACAAGCACACACACATATATAATACTTATATGCCTTCGTACAAAATACTTGTATTATTATAAACCTTGTTCCATTTTAGCTCACTTTTATAAGATTTGTTTAGAATCTTTACTTTTTTATTGCTAATTTATATTAATTGTCAAATTGTAAAGCTGTAAAATACAGAATGTAAAATTGAGAATCACAAGATGCGAGCATTGCGAGTTTGTTGATTAGGGCTTTGGGTGAACACTAATTCGAACTCTAACGTTCACATTGCATACATACACATCTATATGCATCACTCATACATACACATATATATGCATCACACATACATACACATAAATATGCAACACACATACATACACATATATATATGTACCAGCGCGTATACCCAGGCCGTGACCGAGGAACGTATAACTTAAATAGAAAGTGCCAAGCCTCGTAAAAATCGGATGAGATTTGACCGAGTTATGGAGTTGGGTAATTTTGATCTGTGTCTACATAAGATATTTGAGGGTACCCTTTTCACATGAATTTGGACCAAAAATAATGTTCCCAGATTCAAATGCCAAATTGAACTAGAGGCCAAACCGTGAATAGAACGCCAAACCTCATAAAAATCGGTTGAGTTTTGACCGAGTTATGGGGGTGGGAAATTTTGGTCTATGTCTACATATATAGGATATTTGGGGGTACCCTTTTCACATGAATTTGGACCAAAAATAATGTTCCCAGATTTAAATGCCAAATTGATCTCGAGGCCAACCCGTGAATAAAAAGCCAAACCTTATGAAAATCGGTTGAGTTTTGACCGAGTTATAGGGGTGGGAAATTTTGTCCTATGTCTATATAGGATATTTGAGGGTACTCTTTTCACATGAATTTGGACCAAAAATAATGTTCCCAGATTTAAATGCCAAATTGGTATACCCCGGTCTGCTCGCAAAGATCTTTGAAAATGAGTTTGAAGCCGATCGGAGGGTAAGCAAAAACATTCACACAACAGTTTTTCGCGATATTTCCCTTTCTTAACGTGCACCTTCATCACATAAGGTAGCTACAGTGAAAATTTAGTGCGTTGATCACCAATCAGTCAGTTTTATATAAAAAGATAAGAGAGCTAATAACATAAACTATGCCGGAATCGACTGGATCGATCGACTATATCATCTAGTTGTTATATAGGAATGATAAACCGAAAACTAAGTTATTGTATGAACAACTTTTCGGTTTCTTAAGATATCTTGACCAATCATGAACTTTAAAAGTTTTACCACGCTTCTTATATATGTGGAACAGTTTCATGGGATTTGACCCCTATATTATATAGCTGACATAGGAATGATCGAACTAAAAAGAAATCAAGGGCTCGGCAGCTTCAGGATGTTTCCTGAGGCAGGTTTATCTGCAAGGGTTTACAAAGGATCGTCACCCACCTTGGAGCGATGCTCGGCGAGGGCATTGCGCACCGCATCGTGCTGCTTCTGCAGTTCATCCGTGCGTTTTTCGAAGGTCTGCTTAAGGCGCACGCGTTCCGCCACGCCGCGCTCCACGACGGAGCTGGCCACTTCGCGCTTCATTCTTTGTAAGAGCGAGAAAGGGAGTATATATAACAATAAGTAGGAACTTTTTGGGGAGAGAGTCTTTTCGAGTTACCTGACCAGCTCGTCGCGATCTCTGTGCACTGTGGCGAGATTCTTGACCTCGTTGCGGCGCGCCTCCTGCAGCTGATGCATCACCTCGCCGGTGACCTTGTCCAGGGAGGCCTTCAGCTGTTTCATTTGACTGGTCTGCGAGTTCTTGAGCACCTTCTCGGCGGCGGTGTAGATGGCCTCGTGGTACTTCTCCTGCAGCTCCCGATACTGTGTGGTGTACTCGCGGCAGGCGTAGCGCAGACGTGACTCCTGGGTGCCATCCAGGCTGCTGGAGGCGGCCTCGTCGCCGAGTTCGCCGGCGCCGGCGCTCTCCTCGCTGCTGTCGCCCAGGTCGAGGGGGCAGGCCGGCACCTCGACGCCCGGCTCGCTGTAGGGAGAGAGACAATTACTAATTTCAATGGCGTCATCTGGCAGTGACCACATCCCCGAAAAGCACAGTCGCCCGCCGGACACTTACAGGCTCCTGTTGCTCAGGCGCTTCACTAGCTTGTTGGTTATGGTGAACTTCGGCTTCTTGCCTCCATCGAGGGGGCTGAGCTTCTGGCCAGCGATCTTGAGCTTCTCCTTGTCGTGCTTCTTGCGCAGCGACTCGAGCTTCTTCTCCATCTCGAGCCGCTTCTCACGCACCGACTTGTGCTCGAGTATCTTGTCCAGCGGCTCGGCCAGCAAAGGGTCCACATCGAACTGCGACGACTCCACCTGCCTAATCGACGTGCTGACCGACTGGTCCAGCGAGTGCTGATGCTGTATGCCCGATGCCATAATGGAGACGCTGTCATCGTTGCGTGCTCCATCGCTGCGATCCGTCGGCAGCTCCACGCTTGTGGCGGCAATTATCGAAATGCTCGCCCGATGCTTCGGCGAGGTGGCTAGCGATTCCACCGGGCGCAGCTCCTTCTTTTGGCCACCTACTTGGACGAAAACGACTGAAGGATCAGAGACAATCGAGCAGAGAGCGAGAGAGAGAGAGAGCGAGGCGAGGCGAGGCGAGAGAGAGAGATAGAAGGAAGAGAGAGAGAGAGAGAGAGAGAGAGAAAGAGAGAGCGAGTTCGAACGAGTAAAGGGAACGGGTTGGTGGGTCGGTGGAGTAGCGGGGGTTTTGGGGTGCAGTTTGTGTGTCCGTCAACCGTTTTGTGTGGTGGTGTTTTGAGGAGTTGGTGTTGGTGGTGTATTTTGTTTGTTGGGGTTGTTGGTGGGTGCGTGTGCGTATAACCAAATCCAAAATCCAAAAGTTTAACCGAAAGTTTTATGACATACAAAAGAAAAGTAGAAAGAAAAGAAATTAAATTAAAACACAACTCGAATGCTACCGATATCCTTGGAGAAGGGTCCTTCAGCCAACTAGTTGGGCCCAACTACAACCACTTACATGACTTGGACAGATCCTCGTCGGCATTGGCCAGAGCGTCCGTTTCATCAGTGAGCACTGAGAGCTGTATGTCGCGCTTCTCCAGCTCACTCTGGTATTTGATGGGATTGGCCAGTGCTTCGGCGAAATTGGAGAGATCGTCGGGCACATAGTCCTTGACGACAACGCACAGAAAGAGCGAGGCCAGCGCAATGGGCTGGCCCACCTCGGAGCGCAGATTGACATGACGATAGCCCGGACAGAGACCGATTACGGGCAGCACCCGATGGCCAATTAGCTTGCCGCCCTCCTCGTAGGCCGCAATGCGTATGCTGGCCAGTTCCGGCAGCACCACCTTCTTGAACACGAACGGATCTTCTTCGTAGACGGGATTCATGCCGTTGTCGCGCACCGTCTTGGTGCGGAACTTCTTGCGCACCGTGTCCGCCGGCAGGCCGTACATATCCACCTCGACAAAAGTGTTGACCCGCTTGTCGGTCAGGAACTGGCCCGAGAGCACGGTGATCGAAACGGTGCCGGCAATGATGCCATCCACGGTGCTCTCGGCGAATGGATCGAGTCGCCGATCCGAGCGTCGCATAAACTCCGGCTTCAGCAGATATCCCGAGCGTGCGTTGTACTCGAAGATGCCCAGATTCAGTTGCATGGCCAGGTCTAGGGTCTGGAAGTTCAGCGCCACCAGCTGGCAGCCAGCATTCCAAAACAGTTGCGGCATAAAATTGGAGCTGTCGAAACGTGTGCCCGCCGGATAAACCCGGGACAGCTGATGCTTGTTGTAGTTGACAAACTCAATGGGTCGCTCCTTGAGCAAAGTTGTCGCCTGCTTCTCATCGAACGAGGACATCTCGTAGCAGCGATTCTTCTCTGCAGAGTCGAAGGTCGGAGACATTAGCAATGAGGGGTGGGCTAGGGGGTCCTTGGCACTTACTCTCCGCATTCTCAAAGGAGCTGAAGTGTATGGGCTGCACGTAGTTGACCAGCGCTGAGATCTCGGCGCCCGCCTCCGTTTCCTTTTGTGCCTTCTCCGGCGGCGGCTCATTGCCGCTGGGCAGACTGGGTGGTGCATTGGGCAGGGATTCATCGTCGCTGGAGCTGTCCGAGTCCGAGGAGCCGGTACTATCCTTCGAGCTCTGGCGTATTTGCTGTCAAATAAAATAGAGCTCTTTAGATCTGGTCTTTAAATAATATGCATTAACTAGAACTGATTTACGAACAAGAAACAATTTCATCATGTCTGCGAAATGGATGGGAAAAGGAATTTATCTATTTGGATAAAACAATGAAGCAACTTCTTCTGGATCGGATAGGCTTGGCTTAGATGTCGATTCTATTTTCTAAGTGGCCTATTTTCTAAATAAATATGGTGGGGCTGTCTTTTGGGCAACTGGTTAGGTTAAGTGCTCGTTTCATGGTACAAAAATGTATGGGAATTCCAGGCTCCAACCTTTCTTTCAACTATTTTCAATATTCCTAGATTTTCAAGAAATATCTATCAATTTATAGAATGTTAACAAAGTATTTTGAGTATTTCAAAAAATTCTCTAGACTTGTAAGGAGTAATCGTTACATTTCGAATATACAAATATATGTTTTTTTTTGTACTAATAAGTTTGTATTGATTTATTTACTGTGATTCGGGCTTATATCAATGAAAAAATAATACTTTATGCATTTTCAAGAGATTTTAAAGTTTTTAAAAATTAATTAGTTAAATTAAATTTAAATTAATTAAATAGATTTGGACAAACTTATTTGAAAATAAATACAAAACTTGAAAAAATATTACTTTAATTAGCTTTTTGAAATTTTCTGGTTATATATATCTAGATATAGTTTTTAAATTTAAAAATTGATGAAATAAAATAAAAGTTTGTTGAAAGTTCGAATTAGCTCATCGACTTTTTAGCATACACAAATTATGCAAATACCGAATGAAATTAATTTAATTGAAACTTTATGAAACTTTCTGTTTTTATCAAAAAAGTTTTTAATTTGAATAATTAAAATAAATTAATAAAAAAGTCGAAATAAGTACTACAACAACAAAATGACATATTGGACGGCTTAAAAGTTTCATTTTCATAAAAAAGATAAAAAAAACTGCAATTAAATGTAAATAATTGAGTAGGGGGTAATCGTTATACTATGTATATGTTGCCATAAATTATTGTCAGACATTATGTGACGTGTTGTAAATTTTTATTATTAAATGGCCATTCTCCAAAGCGGAGGTCACGGGCGGGGTTCAAGCTGCGCGGCGCAGCTGCCAATATGAAAGCTTTTAAAATGTTGCGTTGTTATCGCTGCAACAGATCCGACAGCCAAACAGGCGGACAGATGGACCCATGAACCAATGGACCCATAGACCAATGGACCAATGGACCAATGGACCAATGGACCAATGGAGCGATGGAGCGACGGATAGCGTAGTCGATGTGTTGTGTGTCGATAATGCGAGCAGCGCATAATGGCAAGAAAATGACGCAGATTGTGTTTCCCGCGGAAGGAGCTGAATGAGTGGCCGGAGCAGGACTCCGTACAATGGGCATGCAAGTCGACATTGTATTGTGCACTGCACAAGGCTCACAACGACAGCCGAGCCACAAGAGTATCTATATATGCGAACCACCCGCCCGCTCTGCTATCTGCTCGTTTGTTCAGCTTTTTGCATTTTACATTTTCCGTCTCGATTCGCATCGTATTGAATCGATTTGGCTTTCAAAGCAAACTGTGACCAGCTGCCCTTAACACAACTCAACTGGCCCCACACCCGCCCCGCCCTCCGACCACAACTCGTGCGGCTAATGAGCCCAAAATGCAACGCGCACAATGCTGCCCAAACTGTGCTGAGGTATATGTGTGTGTGTGTGTGTGTGCTTGGCCGGTTTTGGGCTTTTGGCCGGAAGAGCTGACATCCGCTGCCATTAGCTTAAATTTGCAAAATTGTGGTCCCCAAACTTGTTGACTGGCGGTCGGTTGCCAGGGTTGCCCGGTCGACAATGTGGCCTGGCCACAACACCCACGCCCCCACGCAAAATCATGAATAATGATGTGCGCCCCAATAGCAAACGGTGCAATTAAATTAATATGCATAAAGCTCATGAGGGCCACAGAGCCATTAAACCAAGCAATCAGCAAGGATATGAAGTCCATTACAAAGCGGATGGCATATTGTCTTGGGTTTATCGCGAGAGTAACAGAAAGGACAAACATAAATAATTGAACCTATTGGAAATAATGGGAATATTGCCCGAGTTGCGAGGAGTAATAGACAACAGCTTCAGGCTAGGGTTTAATTTTTAAAGAACATTTTGAGGTTGAGGTCTTGTCAAGCTAATGTTAAAGTTGCTGCTTATTTTGCTGTCAACCTAGCTAGGCGTTGCTATATGTACCATATTTGGATAGTACTTTAAGTTGGCAGCTCGCTTATATAATATATAAATATAAATCAAATAAAGAGTGAATGCAAAGCTGTAGGCAAGCTTATTATATTCCAATTCTCAACCTGTTTAAGCACATTTTTTATGGTCCAGATAGGCTACTGCTACTTTCTTGAATTTCTTTGTAATTCTCAAACAGTTCTGGCAGCTGGTAAACATTGCTTGGCCGTGCCATTTGTACAATGCCTTACAAGCTAGCAGCTCCTTTTTATTTAAATTTAAAATTACCAGAATTAAAGAGGTTTTCTTTTTCTGTACAATTTACTTTTATACTGATATTTTATTGGCACTTAAATAAACTGCAAGCTTTAACTTGAAAAACAGATTAGTTAGAAGTAGGAAATCTGAATCTAATTTCAACAACCTATTAAATTGCTTGTTAACTTTAACAGGAAAATTAGTAAATGGTTGTAACCAGATAAAACAACTAATGTAGCTTGTGAAGTCCACAGCGATTTATCTACTCGAAACGAATAGTTTTCAGAAAAACAGATAATGTGATTAGTACAGACAGAGTCTGAGTCTGCGAGTCGTCGTAAAAAGTCGATAAACATTTTACAGAGAAGCTTGAAAAAATTGAATTCATGTTGAATCTATAGAATTAAATATAATTTTGGAAGATTGTTCCGATAAAATGTTGATGAAGTATCAAGCTATGAGACGAACAAATAAGAAAGTAAATATAAATTAATTCAAGTGTTGAGAGACGTCCTAAGCTAATCCGAAAAAAAATTTGTTACCCAATTAACATACAGGCACATAAAACTGCTGAGACCCAATAAATGGCCCTTTACATAAAGAAATATATTTTTTCAAAGAGATAAGCTCTTTTAGAAATGTTGTATCAACAATAAAAGTTTAATCCCAACAAGTTGATGCACTCGTTTGAAAAGAGTTTTTTGCTGGCAACGTGATGCTCATCTTGAACAGGGTCAGGAATTGTGAGGGAAACTCTTTTTCTGGTTTACGGTTCGTTGACTGTCACTGGCCATCAAACAGCTCTACAATTCATGCGTTTATTCAGCTTTCGCACATGTGTGTGTGTGTGTGTGTGTGTGTGTGTGTGTGTGTGGTTGTTGTCATTACGACGTATGTAAACTCACAGCGTAAACACAGCAACGATGACAATCAACATCAAGAACAACAACCAAATACCTCCGCACACAGCAAACCCTTGGCTGGCGTGGGATGTTGGGGAGCAGGGGGCAGAGGGCGGGCGGTGGGAGGAGGCAGGGTCAAGGGTTGGGACAAACAAACAGTGGGACAAATCAACCGAGTCCTGCGGAGTCGAGAGGCAACAAACATTGCAAATAGAGGAACGTGTGCGTGTGCTGCCATTAAATGCAATTACAGGCATGCCATGACCACGCCTACACACACACACACCCGCCCGCCCACACACACTTATAAACATATAAACTTACTTGCAATGGCGGCCCATGTCCTCCGCCAGCTCCGCTGACAATGTCGCCATTTGCGGCGCCTGTCATTGTGCGTCCTGCTGCTGCTGCTGCTCCTCCCTCGTCCTGCGCTGCGGCAGCCACTTGTTGAGCATTGGCAGCTGCTGCCGCTGCCGTTGCCGCCTTGGCAGCCGCATCAACTGTAAAAAATGTATTGAATAAATACGAGATATATTATGCAACACCAGAAAGCAATAAAAATGCATGCTTTAAGTATGCCCGACTTGATGATACTCTACAATTCAATTTTAAATATCCCATATATTAGAGCCTGCAAATACTGTTGTTATTGTTGGAGTTTAAACATAACAATTGCCAAGGATTTCAATGTATTTTTCTATTGTCCTTGTAAGCATAAAAGGTTGTGGCTATCGTATAGGTATCTTCCAGACAACAAATATTGCTATTAACCATTAAATCAACTATTTTTACCGATATATTTAAAGAACGCGACAGACGTTATGATTATCGTCAATATTTTGGCACTATCGTAAATAAATCTTACAGGCGATATACTTTCCTATTAACTAAAAGATTATAATTAATCTGAGCAATTTATTTCGAGTCATCATTGTTAATATATTGGCACTATCGTACATGTATCTTCCATGCGATACTTTTTCGCTATAAGCCATAAAGCATTCGTTAAGCTGAGCTGATTTGTTCCGATATCTTTAAAAATAGGGTCTGTTGGCGATGTAATGCGACATATTGTCGTGTATCTACTAGCGGGGCGCATACCTAAATATAAATACTTGCAAAAAGACTCAATTGTCGAGTTTTCTATACGGAGAACAATTATTAAATATATTTAGTTTGGATGCTAAGATTTTAGTTAAGGGAATGTTTTATTATGTGATCAAGAAAAAAAATTCTCATTTCTTAAACTCAAATGAATTCCCCCCTTTCGCCAATTTGTATGATTAAAGGGTATATGGCATGCGAATTATTTTGCAGCATGTTAAGCGAAATGCGTTTTAAAAATTGTTTGCCCCTTACTGCAATATGTGTATAATAAAATAAATGAAGCGCATTAGGTACGCTTATTAAGTTGAAAATTGAGGCCCGGAGACAACTGAGCGGAGGCGTTGGCTGCGCCAATTGGCCAGTTGCGCTGGGATTAAATACAAATATGAGTGCCAGACATATTCGCTGGCAATGGTCATAAAACTGTGCAGCTAAGGAGCACTCCTCAAACGGGGGAGCTGGCAGAGTGGCTCCCAGTAGACGGGCAGCTGGGACTGCAGCGGCAACTGCGACTGCAGCCAGTGGCAAAAGTCATTTGCATTTATAAATTGGCTTTTTGCAATTCATGAGCAAAATGTCAACTGACTGTTGCGCGGGGCAAAGTGCCGCAAAATGGCATAGAATGTCAGCCATGGGTAAATTGTGCAGTTGTGCATGCAAATGGATCCTGCAGGACTCCGCAGCGCACAGCACACAGCCAAAGACCCGGCTGTGGCCCATTAGCCA